GAGAAGGAGGAGGAGGGGGAGGGGGAGGGAGAGAGGGGGGAGACGAACGGACGGACAAACTGACAGACAGACAGACAGACAGAGTGTGTGTGACGTACCAGGCTGTCTACACTTGACCCACAGTATACAGGGCCGTGGGTAGCGTAGAGGTCCGCTCTTGGCCCCCGCCTGGCCCTGGTGCTGAGCCTGGAAGGCAGAGGACAGCGTGCCACCCGTCTCCAAGTAATACTGCAGAGCCCTGCGAGGGGGGAAGGGGGTGAGGGAGGATGAAGGGAGGGGACACGTTTGAGCAAAACTTGTCACGTTCAGGAACCACCCCCATTCCCCTCCTCTCTGCTCTTTCCCCTCCTCTCTGCCCCCCCCCCAAAAAAAAAAGTCTGATCCCCTCTCCCACCCCCACCCTCTAAAAAAAAAACACACACAAAAGAACATGAGTACCATTAATGAGCAAGAGTGAAGGCTACAAAGCAGTTTGCTGATATTCTTTAAAAATCAACAATGTTCGTACTTCAGATTTATCTTAAAAGACTTTTTTTCTAAAGTAGCGTAAAACAGATTCTTGGGATTCTGTTATATAGATTTTAAAGTCAAAAGAAAGCGTAAAATAGTTGCTGACCTACAATGCCATAATAAAACCGACCTATAGTTATTCTAACCTTAGAGGCGTCTGTGGTGTAGCAGTGAGGCGCTTCGCTGTCACATGCAGAAGAGCCCGAGTACGATTCCAAAGTGGGGAGAGTATTTACCGAGTTACGAGTATCTCAGTCATTATGTTAGGACATTGGTCAGTTGTATCCTTTCAGCCCAGGTTGGCCGTGACAAGCAGGGTCGAAAGCCCGCCTATTAAATAAAGTATCTTAATTGTGTCGGTGGGATGGTTTTAAAAAACCCACTCAATTATTAAAAAAAACTAAAACCCTTTGCCTCTTATGCTGACAGCAAAGACAAAAGAATAACCATGAGGGGAAAAGCCAGTACGCAACCTTCGAAGGTTCCACATTTCATTCTGAAAATGACTCAAAGCTGAAATAAAAATCAATCAATAAATAATTAATTTTATTCATTGTGTCCAAATTATGTGACCGCCCATTGACACAAATAGATTCTAAAAACATATTATTTAACAAATACCTAAAAAAAAAATTAAAAAAAAAAAGAACACAATGACAAGATCGTGTACAAAAATCAGAGAGTTGCGGAAAGAGTTTATTTTTACATGAACTTTCGGAAAGTTTCAGTAAGCATTTCGCAGCACTTGCAACACATTATGTTATTTAAGTGCCAAAGATTACAGATGTTACAAGAGAGTTAAAAACACAAAAAAGAAGGATAGCTATGGAAGAAAGATAGTTGATATGAAAGACGTGAGAAAAGTACACCTGAGCACCTACCAATCAGCCACGGAAAGTCTTACAGTTCAAAACATTGAACCAGAAAACATGAGAAAAGACAAAATAAATGATAACTGGAATGTCATATAATCAATTTTTACCCCC